CGCTCCGTTTGCTAATTAAAGCCAAACAGGAGTGGGCCGACAGGCCTACAACAATCAGTCATTTATTAAAATGACGGTGAAAATGATTATCACTAGAGTTTTTCTCATTTGAGCTTTACTCGACACTATTTAATTTCGGGATACTTGCCCCCTATTAAATAATGGTGATATCTGTTGGAGAATTAGTGATTATGCAGACTAGCAACACACCAAAAGAACCTTTGGAACCTGCTGCCACGCCGAAGATTCCCTCTCTGGTGCCTGCAGCCACGCCCTCTTTGCATGCTCCAACCACACTCATTGGGATAGAGGAAAGTGAAAGCTCAGGATACGTTACTATGTCTGTGCCGGAGCCTACTGTTATGGCTGAGGAGAAGTTGATTATGCCGGAGTCTACTATGCCGGAAGAGACTGAAAGTGAGAGTTCAGGATATTATTCATATGAGACCGTCAGCTCGGGGGAGGAGGACCTGGGTTCGGACTTTGATGAAGTTGATATGGATGGTAAGGTTTTTACGATTAGGAAAGATGCTAATGTGAACAGAAATAGAATGATAAGGAGAATTCCAGGTTTAAGTTGGGAGGAAACATTTGCTAAAAAGAAGATGGTTCTTCCAAAACTTTTTAGGGGCAGGACAAATGGGAAGAAAAAGAAAAAAGTGAAATAAGCTTTCATAGCTTCTGTTTCACTTTTCCTATTTTGTGATGGTTATAGTGTGAAGGTGGAAGACAAGCATCTCCTTTATATTTGAGAGAGTACGCTGGAATTTCTAAATTGGGATGGGAGTAGTTCGGTGCAGGGGTTGCTTTACTGCTTTGGGATGTAAATTGATGCTGCTGCTTGGAATTGCTACTTCGCTCGCTAGCTGGGAGTTGACGCTTTTAGCTGGCATGTGATACTTCTTTTTAGTTAGTTAGTTAATTTTGATTTTCTGATGTGGGGGCTGTCCCATTTCTAACTGAATTATTATATCTATGTTAGTCTTTTCTAGCTAGCTTAGATAGTCATTGAGGTCTGTTTTGATGCATTGTAAAATGCTATTTTTGGGTGCTTATATATATACTTACATTTCATCCAAAAAAAATAATGGTGATAAAAACTAGCAATAGTAATCAAGCTTCATTATTAATACTTAGATAACAAAAGAGGGGTACGTATGATAACTTAGCTCTTTTGAGATGGGTGAAATAATTGGCTCATCTACGAATTGGAGCCTTGCTCCTCGAGCAGCTTGGCCAAAGTTATAGCAGCTGGCACAAGTCATCATCAACCGTTGACTTCCGAAGTCATGCAAGGTGCTCCACCCAACTTTACTGCAATCTCATTTGGGTCCTTCGGATGTGGTTGACTCTCAACCAAACAAAAAGAATCTTTCCAAGAGGCAGATGGAAACAACCCCTCCCCAACCCCAACAGGCAGTACATCCGCTTAGGGACGGAAGTAAACTGCAGCGGAGCAAAGGGTCCCCGGCGAGGCCAGTCCTCTGGAGCAAGACAGGCTGAAATTTGTTAAGGCCTCTTGGTGGGACGGCGAAAACGAGCGGCGTAGGTGGCGATTCAGGTCGTAGAACCAGCTGCCAGCGATGAGCGCCCGTTTGCAGACGGAGCTTCCCTAGAGGCGAGGATGACCCGACCTGGGGTGCTGCCGCGAGCTTCGTCTGGTGTGGGTAAATCCACCTGGGATTTCACGGCGGCGGGTACGGTGGCTCCGGCAGCCCCAAACAAGATCTGAGAAAATCCATATGTGGATTCCGAGATTTCGTAGCTGCCTTGCCTCCCAAAATTTTTCTTCTTTCTTTCTCCCTTTCCTTCTCGGTCAGTTGGGCAGTTGGGCAGTTGCTGCTAGAGCTTCCCAAGACCAAAATTTCAGAACTTCTTCTTCCTTTGCTAAAATCAGTCCATTTTTGAATGAATTTTGTTGTAGAAACTGAAGAACAACGCGAATCTTTTTGGACAGATTCCCACATGCGGCGCCAGTGTTCATTTTAATCCAACACGATATAGTAAATATATGCATGAACACTCAATTTTTACGTGGAAACCCGAAAGGGACTTTTTAGGTTAATGTCCAAGCCCTCTCTTTCTCATTAGGACTCTCCTCACCATTACATAGTACATTCTGAGCTCCCATTAATGGAGTCTTGTAAGCTATTCTAGAGGAAGAAGGAAGAAGGAAGGCCCCTTTTACATGGAGGCTAAGCTCCCTATTTATAGACAAAGGGGAAAGGGTGCTCTCCACCCTAATGGCCCAAACGGGCCAATATTGGGCCTAATGGGCCGAACTGGGCCTAACTGCTCGGGCTCCGTACTACATAAAGTCTTGGGCTCCTGAACAGTAATAGGCCGAGATAATATATCCCAACACAAACAGTTTAAACTAAAATTTAGCCTGTGTTCGAGATTGAAGCTCGTTAAGCTTTGGTCATTAAATTAAATTCGAAATCACGATCGAACTCGAGTAGTTCGAAAAAAACTCAGTTCAATAACTATGAGTCCTAAGCTAAACCTTTTGTATGCAATAATGAAAAGTTTTACTGCTTAGCCCACCCCACCCCTCATTCCTGGATCCGCCCCTGATAGATATAATATATACTATCCTATATAAATGATGATACAAAAGAATACTTTTTAAAAAATTTACAAATGTAATACATGTGTCATGTGAAAGATCTTCAATCTATTTTTGTCAAAATTAGAGAACAAATAAAAATAGTATAACATTTTATAAAAAATAATTTTTTAACGCATTTTATAATAAAAAACTTGGTTGCATTTCAATTTATAGTGGATCCATTTTGAGTCATCAAACAAAAGTACAAGAAGTGACTAATTGTACGGTTTAAATAGAAACTTTAGTTTAAAAAATGAAGGGAGCAAATTGGCCTAGCTAAGGTTACTTAAAGCAATACTGAGGGTGCGCCTAGCAACTCTCATTTATAAATTGTGATGTAGATGATTTTGCGTGGATTCTCATATGTCGTTTATGTTCTCAGTGCATTTTCGAAAATTGCTCGTGCCCCTTGTAGTAAGGAATTAGGAATTTAGAGTATTTTAAGTGGACATTAGAACTCCTCATTTGGAACATCGAGAAGAAAAATGGACCAAATATATATATGGAGAATGTCAATTTGTTCACCATGAGCATGTTAATGTGATAAATAACTCGGATTTTCCCAAATTGTTAGATGAGTGACATTTGTAATACTTTGTTTGTAACACTTTTTATTTTGTTATTGATGTCTTTAGATATAACTAGTATTTCACACGTGTGTTGCACGATATTGGAATATTTAATTGAATGTTTTTAAATCAAAGACTTATATGTAAATGTAAAAGATGAAATATAAGAAAATTAAAATCTCAATGTGATACACATTGAAAAGTGTGCATAAACTAAAATAATATACTTCCTCCGTTCCTTTTGAGTTGCAACATTCCATTTTTAGGCTTGCCAATACACAACATTGACCGTCATTATATTTAATTCCATATTGGTAAAAAACTTTTAAAAATCAGATTACAAAACTTTGTAATGAGACGAATTCAACAATATCTTTCAAAAAAAATAATTCACATACATTAATAAATAAAATGTAGTCAAAGTAGAGTACATGAATAGTGTGTAAATTCCAATGTTGCAATTATTATGATACGGAGGATAGTATAAAATATTTAGTGATTTTGTTGTCTCATTTGTGGTCTGATTTTCAATGTTTCATGTGTACAACAAAGTGAGTATTTTGAATTTTTCTTTTGTGAATGTTGATTGAACACTCTCCTCAAACCCGAAAGTGCTTCATAGTGTACTATATCCCAATATCCTGCATTAAAAATCATAAGCCGGTTTCTAATATCTGATTTTTATTACTCCATACAATAATAGATAATAGATTAAAAATAATTAAAAACAATTTTTTTCATATTTAAAAAAAAACTTTCAAGTTCTTAATAGTCTACATGAATCTTGCTCAAAACGTCTTGAAGGTAATGATCTAAGAAATATGTTTGGAATGCATGAAGTGTCTTATTTAAGCTCCTTTCCATTCCAATTTCTTGATGCTCACCTTTCAAATTCTCTATATTGGATAGAGATAGAGAACCATTAATCTAGCTAGAATGGGCTTGGCCCCACCTCCATGGGTTGGTTGTGGGCTGGGATTATGGTTTTATTTATCATTATAAAGTTTATGTTATGTTTTGTAGTTTGGGTTTATTATTAGTAATTTAATAGAGTATCTGGTAGAGTTAGTTTGCGTCTCATTGAGGTTTATTTAATTTGGGCTCAATCAGGGTTTCTATTGAGTCTGTCATTAAAAGGTTATTTAAATCCTTTATATGATTCATTCTGGAGCATCTATGAATAAAATTGAAGTTTAGCTTTTTGTTTCAGGGCAAAGATTTCTATCATTGAGAGGCCGTTTGGCAACACTGTTTTTTGTCTTATCAGACTTATCAGTCAACTTTTTCACCAAACACATATTTTTTTCTTTCGTGCGCTGAATTGTGTAATTAGTAGAAAAAGTGACGTTGAAGTTATTTTTCTGGCTGTATTAGCTGAAGTTACTATAGATGACCTTTGTAGCTATCAGGCTTTTATCATGTGTGTGATGTGAAGAGGAGAAGAGGTAGGTTAAGTGTAAGGGTATTGGAGTCTATTATAGATCACTTTTCTATCCGGAACAGTTCTTAGTCCCATGATCCCATCTTTGCCAAATCAAAACTCATTAATGTTGTGGTGTTGGCCTGTTGGGGATGAATTTCATGATGATATCTTGATAACGGTATATATATGATCGTTTTTGTCAATCTTATTGATTATCTGGGCTTATATATATTTATTTTCTGCTTTCATCATATGTGTGATGTGAAGAGGAGAAAAGGGAGGTTAAGTGTAAGGGTATTGGAGTCTATTACAGATCACTTTTCTATCCGGATCAGTTCTTAGTCCCATCTTTGTCAAATCAAAACTCATTAATGTTGTGGTGTTGGCCTGTTGGGGATGAATTTCATGATGATATCTTGATAACGGTATATATATGATCGTTTTAGTCAATCTTATTGTGAGCCAAATCTTTAGAAAAGTTCAAACAGCTAATGAATTGGATTTAAGTCTAGTATTACATGTAGTCTTTTTTAATGCATTCTCATGGCAAAAACGGGAAGAAAGGGAATATTGAATATGTGAGGCTATGGTCAGGTTCAGAAACCAAAATTTCAAGAACAATAAGCGGGGTTGATTAATTAATCCTACCAATCAGTTAAAACCGGTGGTACCGAAATCCAACACAAAAATCTGTAACTCAGACCAGAACTGGAATATGTTTTAGCCATAAACAGACTGGAGTGTAGCAGATTATGATGTCTGTTTATGTTCCGGAGCTGCCCGGTGATGCAGTTTCCAGTTTAAAAACCACCCAGTGGTTTGGGTCAAGTTTGAACCGTGACCACCTCAAACAAAAATATGGAATGACCCTTTATTATTGAAGAAAAACGCTTGGCTTCACAGGCAACAAAACTTAGAATGTATTCCAAGTGTTTATTAGGTCGGAGTCCTACAATCACACCTGTCAATTTGAAGAAAATCAAAACAGACTCTGATGAAGATGTGCTGGATGCCTAGGAATACCTAAAGGAGAAGCTTCCATTCAGCGTACGGAAGCACAAATAGATTGCTGGCTGTACAATTCACCTAGTCCACTGCTGATTTTTGACCGGTTTCTTCTCCGCTTGGCAACCACCACAAAGCCTTCAGCGTCACCGGTACCACTACTATTTACATCAACCATTTTTGAGCTCTCATTATTCATTGTTTCTGTTGACTCCGTTTTCATCCCTTCATCATCCTTACCGTACTGTATCTTTATGATGGCTCTATCATTTGCAATTGCTTCAGCTGGGCTTGCTGGAAGCTCTGACTCCTTCATAACTGGAGTTTCTGCCTGAGCATCTGAACTATGCTGCACCGACTTGACAATGAAGCTAAGTAGTATTTGCCTAGCTAGTTCTGTCTTTTCAACATCCTGAGCGAATTTTGATGACTTGCTCTGTTTAGCATCCAACTTGACTTTCTCTACACCAGAATCAGAAGCATGCGGACTGAGTTTTGAATCTTCAGAGGTGGAACGCACTTTCCATGCCTTTGTTGGAACAAATTCGGGAGCATGTGGATTCATACTTGTAGCAAGGCCAAATCCATCCCCTTCACTGGAAAATATTGGATACTTGGGGTAACCGTACCTCACACGGGAAAAGCTTGACCTGTAATACATAGGAGACCTGGGACCGCAGGGGACTCTTGCAGCAATCGATGGAAACCCCACTGTTTCTAAAATCATGCCCTGCCTGGAAATTTCATTATAGAAACTAGCAACGGCAGCACGGTTTAGCAAATGAGTGACCGCATAGGCACCTGGACTGAATGGTTCAGCAGCTGCAGAAAGCTTGCTCCCATTCGCCTCCACAATCTTTTCCTGAGTATTAGGAGATGAAACATCTTCTGCCTCACTTAATGATCTTTCTGACCCGCCCCCACTTCTTTGAACTTCTTCATTATCAATATTGCAACATGTATCTTGCACACTCGCTATGTGCCGTTCATCTTCATAATTACCAGAAGAGTCATCCACTCTTACTGTGAGTCTTGCATCCTCTATAGGGGGTGTCTGAGGCGGACTAACAGATATCTGGGAATCGGAACTGTCTTTGTTTAATTCTTCAACTTCCTTTGAGGGCTTTAGAACCGTACCAGGTGGGGCCACAGCTACATCTTTGTAGGATAGCGATTTGGAGGACACAGTGTTGAGATTGGCAGGAGGGGGTGAAACACTAACAGTTGATGAGGAACAACCTTTTGGAGGTGCTACTTTAGAAGAGTTAAAGTTGGGAGCCTTTTTTTCAAAAGAGAATTCAGAAGAAACTTTTCTATATGCACCATTGCGCCCCTGCGGGATAACATCTTTCCTAGATATCACGTTCCGTGAGGAATAAGCAGGACCTGTTTTTATCTTGGCTAGATTTGGTCTCTTACGGATACTATTTTTTGCAGTGGAATGACCACTGCGCCCTTTCACATTAGCTTCTTGCCACCCGTGATCTGGACTAGTTTCGGAAACAGGTACTTCGACAAGCAGAGGCTGTTCATTACTCGTTGGTCTAGGAGGAACCATGAATTCTGGAGGAGAAGTAGTGCTATCCTTATCCTCTTCATGATCAACAGGTTTGATGGATATACAAATTTCTGCAATGTCTATGCTCTCAGAGTTGTTACCATCACAAGGTCCTTTCTGAGATTTTTCAGACACTGGATGCACCTACCAGAACAGAACACACAAAAGTTTTCAAAATAAGAAGTCATAAATGAACGAATTTCCCCTGACATTATACAACTCAGAAAGAAACATGACATAACATAAAAGTGATACCTTTGAACGCCGTTTACGGTGCAAATCAAAAGTCTTTACATCTTTATCTGGATTTATGTAATCTAAGAGATCTGATACACTGCAAAAGAGGCAGTATGATTAATCACAAGAATACGGGCAGAATGTTCAAAACTAAGTGATCCATGTATAAATATGAACACCTTAGGTGTCCTTTGCTAGCAATGGAAGCATCAGGTTTTGGTGTTCCAGACCGTGCAGCCTCTTGTTGCTCTAATGCTTTTGATTCAAAGTATTCAAGCCAGGCAGCAGCATCCTACACATAAAAATTTCATGGCAAAGAAAAAACTTAAGATAGAAATGTTGTATCATTTGAAAATGCTCGCATTTAGTTTCAACAAGCCACACAAATATTTGAAAATAGCACTCTTCCATGTAAAAAGTTTAATATGCACCTGAGTTCGGAGATCATCAGGTCCAAGCTTAGCTCGAAGAATTTGAAGTGTAGTTTGCTCATGTTGAACACTCAAAGAATATGCTTCCATTAGTGAAAGAGCAATGGCTATCGCATGATAACTGGCAGCAGTCTGAGAGCAAACACAGAGTTAGCATGAGCTGTTCCTGAAAAGGGACAATATTGAGAAAACAGAAGTCAGAAAGTGACCTGAATGTGATCAGGTCCAAGTAGCCGCTTGTTACACTTAAGGGCTTCATGGAGATATCTGAGTGCAATTTGTGCATTTCCCATCCCCTCTTCCATCATAGCCACATTAATGTATGTAGCAGCTGTGTTTGGATGTGATAGGCCGCAGGTAAAGTGAAGCAGAAACAGGGCTCGGTTGACATATCTGAAAATATACAAAGAGCACTTTACTGTTATGACATTTAAGAGGAACAATGACTTAAAGGACAAGTGAGAAAGTCTTGATACATGAAACATCAAGCAAAGCAAATAATTTTGTCTACTCACTTCAGGGCAAGTTCAATATGTTGAAGGCGATAGTAGAACACTGAGAGATCACCGTAGCTTTTCATTGTATCTGGGTGGTCAAGACCCAGTTCCCTCTCATTAATATCCAACGCCTTCTGCTGATAAATAGTTGCCTAAAAGGAATGTAAAGATTAAAATGTGAGTAAATCCAAGATCTAAATGCTAATCAGAGCAAAGATATGCCATGGCAGCAACTATACGTACAACAAGCTAGGAGGCAACAGAAGTTATCAAGATAATAAAGCAATAAACCATTTGAGATTAAGCTACCTGATTAAAGTCTCCTGTGTGATAAAGAACAACTGCCAGCAAGCTATAGGCACTTGCTATGGTGCGATGATAAGAGCCACATACAGCAATCATTTTTGTCAATGCCTTCAGTAAAAAACGTAAATAAAGTCAATCTTTTTCTCTATATGACTGTATGATATAGTGATTCATGAAACGAATTTATATACCTTTGTCCCAAAGTTTAGTGCATCTTCCAGCTTTCCTTTATCAAGAGCAATCTTAGAGGACTCCAGCAAAGTACGACCATCGGCAGAAGAGCATACAACATGCTGCATTGTACATTGTGAGAAAAATATTGTAAATGAATCAATTTATAAGCTAAATTGAAGGACTTTATTATGATATACAGCAAAGAAATGTAAATCTTACTTTACACATAGGTACTAAACTGATGATATCAGCTTCACTAAATGGATTTGGGCTTTCCATGTCATAATCTCTAGGAATCAATTCTATTCCAACCTAAGAAGGAAAAATCAATAGTTGTTCAGAAAAAGAAAATAAACGCACAATTTTCATTGTGTGAAAATAATGAATCTGGCTCAGACCCAGTAAAAAGGAAAATAAACACACAATCATATTACCTTATGACAGAGTCCACGAAGAATTGACAATTTTCTTAGGTGCTTGAATTCATCTCCCAGATTCCAACTAAATCTTTTCAATAGAAATTCACTTAACCAATGGAACTTGAGAGTTTGGTCACCACTAAACTTCTCATTATTAACCTCTGTTGGATTGGATCCAAGCATGAAGTTTAGAGAGGACGCAATCGCAGATCGCAAGTAAGCCGAGTCACTAGTAGCGGCAATAACAGCTCTAAGAATGTACTTAAAAGCACGAGTGACCATCTCATGAACACAAAGGGACTGTATGTGTGGAAGATTCTCAGCAAGCTCAACCTGGTTCATGAATAAAAATTATTCTGGTAAGGATTTTTGCATCATAAAACTATCTGAAAGAAATATGAACCGAGAACCCACCACTCTTCCCAAAGAACACATTTGCAATCCTCTTAGGTGCATGAAGTCCGTCAGAGTTCGACCATCAACAGGTGAAAGTTCTAAAGAGGCGAAGTCTGCTACCTAAATATAAAACGAAATCAGAACACTTTGTAACAACTGTTATGAAACAGAGAGATTAAAACTTACCAGCTTAGGAAGGGCAATATCATCGTAATATTTCTCCGCCATCTTGAAGATATCATCTAGTGGCTGTTTCAAAAGAATCAAAGTGATAAGACATAATGCCTAGGAAAAAACTCTCTTTCCGTTTATAGCATCGGCTTGGGTCAAAAAATAACATATGATTAATAAAGGTGCTTTATGAGTGAGCAAAGTATCAACATAAACCTTTAGATGAAGACTCGATCCACTCTCTTTGAGACGGAGATATGCTTCTTCAGAAACATATTTCAACCACTCTGCCTTTGAACTGGACTCATCATTGGTTTGCTCAGCTAAGATGCATTCCACATTCGGAGTACTAGTTGAGTCATCAATGGCTTCATTTGCCTCTGTTGCGTTATTATTCGAAGATTTACGCTCCCTCTTTTTTAACATTTTAAATTGCTTCCCTAATCCTTTGATTAGTAGCTCATCCTTACCATCTTTTCCAACCTTCTTGGGATCCTTTTCTGTTGTAGGCTCCTTCTTTTGTAGATGCTGCATCCAGCAAGATCCAAGCTCCCATCTGAATGATTTTTTCAGTATTGGAGGCTTGTTTTGCAACTTTATCAAACTATCTTTAATAATCTCAAGAATGGGGGATCCAGGAGATTCATAATCTGTGTGTTTATCTTCATGAGATTGGCTTCTCACAGAACATTCAAGCATCCTTGGATTTAAAAGGAGATAGCGTAGGCTGCAATTTTTTAGTTCAGTGGAGTTAAAAAAACTACAAAAAGCTTATGCACTAAAATCATAAACAACAACAACAAAACGCATCGCAAAATTAAATCGTTCTCAAAAGAAGAAGAAAAATTCTCTACTGAAGACAACTATAGGAAGCCTTCAAATAATGTTTATGGAGGGGAAGTAAATCTTCTGACTGATTGTACTTCAAATGCACAAAAATAGTTAAACCTGTTTATGTTGAGTGCATTCGCTCCCCCATCTGGTTGTTCATCAATTACAATATCTTGTACTAGGCTCCTCTCCTCCGCATGACCAGCCGCAACTTTCACAATAGCAGTGTAACCACAGTGTCTTACAGTAACCATACCAAGTGATAATGTATCCTGCGGAAACACAAACAAACACAATCATCAGACCAGAATAAGTGTCGGGAATAATGAAAAAAAATTACATAATGAAAGTAGTTGAGACTTGAAGCTACTCACATGTGCAAGGACACTTTCATCTGCAGTTACCCCTTTAAGTAAATTTCTTTGACCAAATTCTTCAGCAGATTCATCAAAACTTTTAATGCCAACAATCTTCAATCCTTTACAGCTAGCGTCAGTGGAATCTTTAATCACCGTAACACATAAATCCCCAATGTGATCCTCAAATAACACTGAACCCCAAACTGAGTGAAGAGAAGTCGGAGTAGATGCCGCAGTGGAGTCAATGACTTTCCTTATTGCACCAACAGCTTTCACAATTGCTACATCAACAAAAAGATTATGGAGCAAAAAGACCTTGCGGTCCCGAACAACCCTTTCTTCTTCGGTTTTACAAGGAAGCTTTGCAAGTAATTGAAATTCTGAAGCCCAAGGTCTAAAGTCATGCTCTCCACTTCTTCCCTGGCCTCCACCATTACCACCCCAGCTCTCATCTTCAACTGGAAGAGGAATGAAATTTGTTTCAGGATCTATAAGAGCTGGAGGGACAAGCCATGTGTTTGCGCGGAATCCATATGGAAGATTACCAAACTGAAAGAATATCATGGCAGGTTCATAGTTTTCTAATCGCAAGATCAACAAAAAGAAAATAAAGAATTGTTGACAACAAAATAATAATTACCTTATTATGATCAACAAAAGCACTCATTAAAGATTCATACGCCTGTAAAAAACAGTAGATCTATCATGCATCTGTCCTAAGTAGCTTACCAAAATGATAAAGAAATAATTGATGCAATCAATGTAATGAAAGATTCATTGCAACAATTACATACAGGACAATTTGTTCTATAAAGTAGTTGAATAAATAAAGTCATAAAAGTAACAAAATTTTGAAAGATATTCAAAAGACCTAACATAACTCCAGATTGGCATTGCATTAGTTAACCTGTTCACAAGCCATGCTTCAATTACAATACACAAGAGAAAACATGTTTAAGAATTTGAAGTGCCAAGAAATATCTGGGTGCAGTCAGAGAGAAAAGGCATTTACTTTGGCAAAAGCTTGGCTAAGCTGTTGAAGAAGATCAACCAAACTATGGGCTCGTATAAGAGGCTTTCCCAAAGGATAAAAGCCAGTTTTTGAAGCAGCCACGTGTAGTAACTTCCCATTGCATATCTTAACCTGCAAGTAAGTTACAGTCACAAAAGAGGGGGAGTAAGAAACAATTCGTCGATTTCAGATATCAAGTCAAGCATCTTCAATATTGTTATCGAGAAATGCAGAGTTTTTAGTCGAACCTGAATTTCAAAATAATCACTATTTTGATCCGACTGGCCATCCTTCACTTCCACTCTCTTCAAACTTGTAATCGGCGGATGGAGATGAGATAAAGACAGGAACTCGTAAAAATCCGAAAGCTTCGGAATCGGGTGGATTGCCAGCATGTCGGTTTCCTCCGGAGCGGAAGGAGAGGGTAACCCCGACGACTGCACGGCTCCGTCCGACGGAGAATTCGGCCGGGCGGTCTCCGGAGCCTGCTGCGGCTTGTGCTTCCGGGAGCGGGCGTCATTCGCGGAGGCCGTTGAAGATTTCCCGCCTTTGGACTTGCCGAAGCGCGTGGTGCACGCGATGATGTCGAGTAGCCTTCGAACATGAGCCTGTGCCTGGGCCTGGTCCGCATAATCCTCTGAAATATCGTACGTGTTGGGCCATTAGAAACCGAAACGGGTCACAATGAAATGAGATTTTCATGAGCCCTTAAAAAGTTGAAAATTCAAGGGAAAAAATGAAACTTACTCCTTGTTTGGTTAGGGAGAGGGGAAGCATAAATGAAGGGAAAGGTGAGGAAATTGAAATGCCTAATTTGTTTATTTCAGTCCGTGATTTATATAATTATATGTTACAGTAATTAATCATGTCTTATAAATGATAAATTTAGCATTTGCATTAGGTACATTTTGCAAGAAAAAAACACAACAAAAGTTGCCACCTGTACCGAATCTTTTGTCGAGAACTTTTTATTGTGATATAACTTTTTTTTGAAGAATTGTGATTAAACTTATTAATTGTGGAATATATGTATAAATTACTTTTTAAAAATATTTCTACTTGGACTTTATTCAATCCCACACCAGAGCAGATTTAAAAAGATCAGACCAGAACAGTTCAGACTAGACCAAACCGGACTTAAACAGGCCCGTAAATTTCACTCTAGATAAAAACATCCTATTAATGATGAAGGGATATAAGTACTTCGTATATAATTAGAGAAAATATATTCGGCCCCTGTCATTTCCGGATTTGGAAATAACTTTACACAAGTGTTTAAAAAAAACTAGGGTAAAAATTTAACTAAAAAAGATTTTTGTACTAACACAATCCAAATTATTTTTTATTGGATGCACATTTGAGGTGACTACGTAAGAGCATCTCCAATGCTCTAATGTGCACGATGCACATGTGGCATGAGTCATAGCCACATAAATATGAGCAAATAAATTATCTTTCACCTTATTTAAATGATTTTATACAATTTTGGTAAGTTTTTCCATGCAATATCAACAACAATGTCAACATTTAGACGGTCTCCTTGACATTGTGGAGAAAAACTTACCAAAACTATATAAAATCATTTAAATAAGGAGAGAAAGAATTTATGTACTAATATTTATGTGATCATCTCTCATGCCACATGTGCATCGTGCACGTTATAGCATTGGAGATGCTCTAAAATATGTAATGCGTAATTGCGTACTAAGTTTCTAAAATTGGTATAAAGCGGTGGTGAAGTTACCATATAAATTTATGTAATTATTTAGAATTGATAAAGTGAAAATAAGATAGAAACAATTCAAAATCACACAAAAGTTAACAAATTTAATACGAAATATCTTAGTAGAATAGATAAAAAAATGAAAGATGAATAATAATCTTAGTAAGACATTACTAAGACGGGGATAAAAAATGAAAGATTGGTTTTTCCGACTCCTATGGCATTCTATAGTTTTAAGATCATGTATATATACTTTGTATAAATAAACATGCAACAACCCTATAATTGTCATTTCGTCCGTGGAGCCCTATGTAGTTAAAAAGTATTATAAAGCCCTATGTGCTCTTTTTGAATATTAATCGAATAAATGTATGTTAGAAATCAAAATATCTACTCACATTCAAAAATTAATTTCATTCTAAAAGATTAATCTCTTGGAGAAAATAACATATAAACATAGTTTTTTTATCGAAAACACATATGGAGTATATGTTTGACTGACATGAGAAATAATAATATAAAAATTATGTGATTAAAGTTTGTACAGTCAAAATAGAAATAAAATTCTGAACAAAATGCTTTGAGATCATGCACAACAAAAATAAAAGTAGAGTCAAAATTACTCGTTTGACCCAAAATTGGAGTTAAATTAATTTAAAACACAAGGCCGCTCTTGAACAACCATTGACTGGGGTGTTAGAAATTGATTCTGCTTCTGTTTTTTTAATCAGAATCAATTTTCAGAAGTTGATCTTCGCCGGCTTCCAAAAAAACTAGGGAAAAGTGTCAAATAGGCCCCCCTACTAATACGAAAAAGTCAATTAAGCCCCCGAACTCAAAAAACATCCAATTAAGCCCACGAACTAAATATAACGAGGCAAAACAGTCCTTTTAGCAGGATATTAACCGTTCCCAGTTAAGTTGCATGTGTGATAAATGATGTGGCATGCTTTTACATTTTCTTTTTCGCTTTTTCTCTTTCTTTCCTTTTTTCCTTATCTCTTTTTAACCGCTTAATTACCTTCTAAAAGGACTGTTTTGCCTCGTTTTTTATAGTTCGTGGGCTTAATTGAGTGTTTTTTGAGTTCAGGGGCTTAATTGACTTTTTTGTATTAGTAGGGGGGCCTATTTGACAGTTTTCCCAAAAAACTACTTCTAGGAGTAAATTAAAATAACAAAAGTACTTATGCATTTTCACTCAAACACACTAACTTCTACTTCTGCTCCACGAAGGAGCAAAAGTAATTTTAAGAATCAAATCCTCTGACTTCTACCTCTATATATTATTGATCCTCTAAAAAAGGTATACAGCATTGATCAATGAAAAAGTAATTTAATATAAATAGTAAGTGTTGATTTTTGGGAGAAAATGAAAAGGAAAACAACGGTCAACAATCCAACACATGAGAGTTGAGATCGTTCCCGATTATAGTAATCATAAAGCAAGTGTGAGGTGAAAAGATTCACATGAATGAGGAAGCTCGGACCGTCGGTTTGGCGTTAAAACCCAGCCAGCGGGCACTAACGATTGCGACAGATTTTGCGGCCCCAAATTTGTCGATTTATTGGAATTTAGTATACGCACAAGGAGTTGTTGGATTCTCCTCAGATGCATCTATCACTCTACTAAAACCTCTTTTTCTTACATTATTATATTCAACCATTTTTTACTACCCCAAAATGCGTATATATTTTGTACACTCGTCTTTGTACACATACCAGTACTGTATTTTATAAATGAGTTGTCAATGTATACGACCAATTAGGAAATGTGTACATATTTCATGTACCATTATATTAGCGGAGGTGATTACTTGTTTTTTCTACTTATCAGACTTCATCAACTAATCTTTTTATTAAACATTTACTCGTATTTTTTTATTTTAGATGCTCAATTGTTTAATAATCAAAATAGATTAGTTTTCTGAGTGGAGTTGATGAAGATGACTATTTGAGCGTTTTAATTTTTTTTCTTAACTTTTCTAATAAAATGTACGTCGCACGTAGTTTAAATGTAGTTTTTTTATTACGTAGATTGAGACGATTTTAGTGTAAACAGACTCTTACGGCCTGTTTGGATTGAATGTTGGGGAGTGTTAGTAATGGAAGTGTTAGTAAGTGTTGATACTAACACTTGTTTGGGAGAAAAATTAAGAGGTGTTAAAAGACGTTAGTAAGTTAGGAAGTGTTAATGATAACCTTCTCAACACCTCAATTGTCCACTTTCTTAACACTCCGATTTGGAGTGTTTTGAGGTGTTGGACAATTATTAACCTTCACATTCACACAAATAACATAAAATGCTTCGACATCTCGCTTCGAATCTCTTTGCCGCAGGTTTGATGGTCTGCCCTTTTCATCTTTTCTATTTACGCGTTTCTTCTGCCTCAAGGTAAAATTATTAATACTTCCATTATTAACACTTCATTCATTTGACTCTCCCAAACAAGGTAAAATTATGTCTAACATTTACATTTCTCTCCCCTTCCAGGCCCTTACTAACACTTACTAATACTTCCATTATTAACACTTCCAAACACTCCATCCAAACAGGCCCTTAAGCTCATTTGCCATCAATAAGAAATATGGAGTAGTGCGTGTAAGGAAAATTGATTAACATTTGAAAATGGAAAGCATCTACTATCTATTTTCTTAATTCTTATTGTAAACTATGATCCGCACATGATCAAAGCTCTTAACTATTTTTTGCAAAACTTTCTAACTTATTATAATATATGTATAATAAATGTTCTATATTAGGGTCAACATCCTTGAACTGAGATAAAATTCATATATGTGATCTCCTCCTTGAAGTGTCATAATAATGCTATCGGATCACAAATTACTTGCCAACTGAAAATGTGCTTTTAAAACCGGTTATCTCATTATTATATATATCATCAACCGAAAATCATATCCTATCATTGAAGTATGTTTGTTCCAATAATTTTCTAAACCAACGGTTATTAATGTGTGAAGAGTGTTATATGTAAATGGATAGTTAAATAAAGAAGAAAGTAAAGTATCAGATGAATGTTTAATTCTAGAGGTGAGGTACTTATTGACAATGTGAATAATTAAGTAAATTGATGATTATATTTTCATTAAAAGTCATATTTTTAATGGATATTTTAGTTAAAAATAAGTAAAATAAAAAATAAATTTGTTCTATTTTAAAGATTTATTTTTGCCAACATTATCTTTAAAAATTAAAATTTAAAATATACTCCAAGTGTCATGCACATCCGACATTTCACGGTATAGCGCGAAGTGACGCCTAATTGCACACTAAATCACTAATTATTACTCCATTATTATAAGTTTAATTAATGGTGTTCATTGACAGATACAAGGGGAGTGGCGGGTGCCGTTCATTCTCCTCCTGCCCAGATGTATGATTAAGCTTAATATATTATACGACGTACTCCGTTTATAATATTTTTAATGTATGTTTTATTCAATAATATAAAAAGTAAGATTTTGCCATGTTTCAAGAAATTGAAGTCGTCCCTGATTATATTTATGCCATAGAGCATAAAAAAATGGACCAAAATAAATTAATAATATTATGTACCTCCCCCTAATTCTGAATATAATAAGCTGGATTTGTTGATTATATGAATAATTAATAGTTCGTAGCACAATGTGCCAAACGTTGTTTTGACTTTCACAGTCTCCTATAAAAAGTGTAATCTCGGGCGTGGCCTAATTAATTGCTAACCATCAGTGTTTATTTTTTATCAAAAAATAAACAACAACAATTTATAAATTAATAATTTTATTTTTAAATTCTTTTGTGAAGAATACAATACACCTACCTTCAACCATTCTCAGCAAACATGGTTTTAGAGCAACAACTTCTAACCTGTCAGTAAGCTTTGCTCCTTTCACCTGCCCACAACATTTCATGTTTCAAGAAAATGAAAACTAGTTTTCAAAAAAAAAAACTTCAAAAAAAAACCTGATCAATTATGTCAATAACTAGGAATCGAGTAAAAGATTTCATCAATCAATCAATTACATAATTATTACCCAGAATTAATAATACCTCATGGGACAAAGAATAGCTGGTGAAATGACAAGTTTGCACATTGGAAGCTAAAAGCCTCTTCACATCCAGTATCCTGTCCGTGGAGATGCCCTTCATCATTTCAATCAACCCACATCAATAATTCAATAATAATCAATGATTTAATATATATTTCAGCTTCATGAAAATAAAGATTTAATTTTTAAATCAAGAAAATTCTTGAATTGAAAGCACAAACAAACCACTTGCAGTATATACCTTGAGAACAACTTGGGTATCATAGGGAGTGATGACTGTGATGTCCACAACACTAGGAACAACTGCAAAACAAAATTTGATTTTTAAAAAGGGAACAAATAAAGCCCCTGGATTGATTTAAAAAGGAAAGAAAAGGGAAGGCAGAGAAAGGGAAAACCCAAAGTCCAATAAATGAATTACAAAAATAAACAAACAGATAGAGGAAGATAGGATCCTCCACCTTTCTCTTCCTTCTTCTTCTTCTCAGACTTGGCTTTGCTTCCCTTTCCCCTGCCAGACTTGGGGGCCATAACCTTCTCTTGGTTCAATTCTGAGACCAAATGGAGAAAAGCTATAAAAGAAAGAAAGAAAGAAATGAAACCCAAAAACACTCTTATCTGCTGAGAAATGAATGAATGGAGTTGAAAAAATGGGGTTGTGATAAATGGACAATGGGAGCTTTGGAGCCTATTAAAAGATTGGGATAATATATATAGAGAGATATAAACAAAGGAAATCTGGAGAAGGGATTTCAATGGGAGGAGGGGGAGAAGATAGGATAAGGAAGGGACAAAGTTTTGGGATTGCATTGGGGGGATTGGGCTTTTGGTGTTTCCCTGTCACTCGCCTTAGCCCTTCTATTAGTGGTTGGTAGCCATTCTTTTGCCCAATTTTCTGATAGTCACTTACACTAAAGTGTTTAATTATAAGTTTAGAAAAGTTAACTTTAAAAATATTTCTCAGCAGGAGTAACTTTAATAATAATACTCCGTAACTTTAAATTAACTTTTCCTCTTTATCAGCAAACTATAACAACAATTTTATGTAGTTTTTTTCACTTTTTTATGATTTCAAGAAATTAAATCAATTTATTTCTTAAAATTATTAATTTAATTATTATATTTTCAAGAGAATTATTGTTATGAAACAGATATTTCCACATTATTCAGGATTTCAAGAAAAGTTTCTTGAATGGTCTTACCTCTTGCCTTTTGGAGCAATGGGTGAATACTGTGATTTGACCCCCCACCCCACCCTCACCCCACCCCATCCACGCTCCTTCACATTTTTGCACACACAACAACACAAGACTGTTTGGTGGATTCCGAGGAAAATGGTTGTTATGCTTGAATTTGGTTCTCTCGATCTTCTAAATTACATGTCACTTTTTGGCATTTACTCTCTAATGCAATTAAATGAATTTTGACCGGAACTTTTTCGTTCAAATTTTAAGTGTTTTCATTTGTTGAATTTAATAAACACACGCGAAAAATGATACTTGTGTGCAATTATATGTTTTACTTGTGTGATATTGTGTTACCTTCTTTTCTACATTTGCTTTTGATTTCACAAGCAAACATTAAAATAAATGTTACGTTGGACTGTGGAGTAATATTTCGAGAATTTAAAAAAAAACATTGATATTTTCCATGTAATATAACTATTACCTGTGTAATTAATATAGCAATATCTTTATATGTGTGTGTAATATGTAATGATTCAATTTTTCTATAATATGTATTACAAAATAAAATCGAGATCTTTATCTTTATTAATATATATATATGGAGCGGTTCCGGTAAGAATGAGAACGAATCTGGACAGTTTGATTGTATTATGTGGAACCAAATTGTGCATTTGGTGAAACTGAAATGTGCATTAAATGATATTGAAATGTGCAAAATAAAAATTGGCTAAAGGGTCAAATAGGTACATGAACTAACTTAAAGTGTTCAATTAACCCCTTATAAAAGAGTTTCTGCCTGGACGTCGCCAATTGGGGCGGTTCCCGGTGGAATTTATTGATGAAATTTTTTGAGCATCTTCTTCATTAATTCTAGTTTACCCATACCAAATTTCAGCTAAAAATTCAACCGGGAAGGCAGTCGAATTATTTTCCGAAATGCACTGCGCTGTTTAATTTTTCAGAAAATCATTCGACTGCCTTTCCGGTTGAATTTTTAGCTGAAATTTGGTCTGGGTACATTAGACTTAATGAAGAAGATGCTCAAAAAAATTCATCAAAAAATTCCACCGGGAACCGCCCCAATTGGCGACGTCCGGGCAAAAACTCCTATATAAGGGGCTAATTGAACACTTTAGGTTAGTTCATGTACCTATTTGACCCTTTAGCCATAAAAATTTAAACTCAAGTGTGCATTAGATGAAACTGATATGTGCGAGAAAAAAAGTACAAAAATAACATCACATCGTACTTTTTATTCTGCACATTTCAGCTTCAACTAGTGCGCATTTCAATTTCACATAATGCACAATTCAACTGCACATAATGTCACTCTATCGTACCCTTTGTGATGCAAATTTCAATTTCACCTAATGCACAATACAATTTCATCTAATGCACGCTGAATTTCACTTGAAGCAAATCTAACGGTCCAGATTCGTTCTCATTTCTCTCATAAGATCGTGTTCTTATTTGAACCAAAACCTATATATATATATATATATATATAACTTGTTTGAGTCAAAAGAAGTGAAAGCTCTGGGAGTGACAGTTGTCTTGGCGGTTCCCGAGATTCGAGGTGACGGTTATAGCGACCGGTTCAACTTCCCAGGTAACTGATTATCTGTTTGTTGGCCTCAGCGCGACATGTATCCCGGGGTACGCTCCTCGCCGTGTGTCGCCTTACGATTAGCTCTTCGGGTGGTAGAGTTCCCTATAAATACTTGCTTAATAGGTTGGGTCAAGGTTTTTGAATTCCTTCTCTCCTTCTCTCTGGGTGCTCCAACTTCTCTCTACACCGGATTCCAGCAATCGGTTCTTCATTCGTCCCTCGAGTCAGGTAACACTCATCTCTAGATTCTCTTCTTTTCTCCTCATGTCCACTCAGGACATGACTCTGATCCTCGCCGTTCCTCGGAGACTGATATGGACCCTCGCTCCTCGTGAGAGCCCGGGTCACCGGATATCGCCCAAGCCACATCAGATGGCTATGATTCTGGCAACGAAACCTTCCCCGGTGATGACATGGAGGTTTTCGAGGTCGCCTGCTCGGGTGATGTGTCGTGCCACGAGGTGCTTCTGGGAAACGCCCAGGGCTGCTAACACTTTTTCTCTAACCATTTCATGGACCATATCCCATTTTGTCTACCGCCGCCCGTCGTCTACATCCTACGCGGTGCGTCTCACCCATTTAAAAGGTGCCTCAGGATGATCACGGTTCACCTGGATTCCGTGATAGCCAAACTGCGATTCCCGGCCCATCCCTTCTTCATCGAGGTATTCCAACACTATCAGGTGGTTCCCCATCGAGTTCATGCCCAACTCGATCTTATCGGCTTGTGGCCGCCTTCATCGTGTGGTGTACCTCTACGAAAGTGGATTTGAGTCTGGATATTTTCCACTATTTCTTCCAGATCTCCCCTAGAACAACGGTGTTTTTTGACGATCAGAAACCGTTTTGGACGGAAACTATTTCATGGGGCCTCCTCCTTCATTAAGGAATAGAAACATTGATTCCTCTTTGTCCGCTTCCATGAGGGCCAGCTGCTGACGCGTTGGAATGGGTTCCCTCCAATGATCAGAGAGTCGCGCGATACCGAGGAGCTGAGGGGGGTCATCAAGAGAGTGCAATGTTACTATGAACACATACTGCCCTATCTGACCTCCAAAGCGATTGTGAGCACATACTGCCCTATCTGACCTCCAAAGCTCTTACTGACGCAGGAATAGGTACCGCTCGTGTTACTGGATTGTTCCCCCCCCCCCCCTAAAATCACACCTAAACTCCGGGCAATCCTATTCTTGTTCAAGGTGAGTGCCTTTGGGATTCATGTCGCCCGTTTCTAACAGTTTGTATTTTTGTTTTAGGTCCTCTTATACCCTCAAAAGCTCAGATCGAGAATGATGCACTGAAATGGAAGCGAGTGGCACGTGTTGCCCAAAAAGAAGTTGTCAAGTCGAAGAAGGCATCTGGATGGGCAAGTTAGTCCTCTGAGGTCACTCTTCCGCCGCCTCTCAAGCCGAACGTCGGGATCATGATGGTGCTCGGACCACAAACTTGGCTGTCCCGGAGGCCCAAAACGAGGGCCTGGGCGTGGACACTGTTGTTGCGTAGGAGGCTAAGCCCATTCGGGTGGCAATTGGTCGCCAATTTGGGTCTCAAAAGGAAAAGTCGCCCAAGCGGACTCGTGTGGAGACAATTGGCCCTTCTGTTCAAAATCCAGAGTTACCCCAACTTGGTTGCTCTGTCACCAATGCATTGAGGGAGTTTGGCAGCCACTCGGGCTTGGAGCTGATTCCCCGAATATCCCATGACGTTGTGGAGAGGGCGCTGCTCTCGTGTTTTCAGGTATCCCTTGCCCTTACCTGCCATAGTTTACTCTTTCCCTTCATCACTCATTCGAGATACTCATCATTTCCTCCCTACGGGTTGGCCTGTACATCCTCCAATCTGAGACCGCTCGGGATTCGGACGCCCTCACGACGAAGAGGAAGGCCGACGAAGCGTTCACGGGGGCTCGATGGGAAGCGAAGCAGGCGGCTGAAGTGGATGTTCGGCGGGAGAAGGATCTCTTGGAAAGGTTTCTCTAGTGTGCATTAGGTTAAACTAAAATGTGTGGAATAAAAGGTACCAAAATAACATCACATCGTACCTTTTATTCTGCACATTTCAGTTTCACCTAGTGCACATTTCAAGTTCACCTAATGCAAAATTCAGCTTCACATAATGCCACTATATCGTACCCATTGTGCTGCACATTTCAATTTCACCTAATGCACATTACAGTTTCATCTAATGTACATTGAATTTCGTTGTCACTTCTCTCCTAAGATCATGTTCTTATTTGAACCAAAACCTATATATATACTATTATTCTACATGTATGTATGTATGTATGTATGCATGTATGTATGTATGTATGTATGTATGTATGTATGTATGTATGTACGTACGTACGTACGTACGTATGTATATGGGTGAGATCACATACAAACTAGTTCTTCAATGCTAACCTACAAACCATGCATCTTTACATTATTTGTATTGCATATTAAAGTTCAAAGTCTTGCATATTATTGAGGTTGTAGGTTAGTAAATTAAGTATGACTTGTATTTGATCTCTAATCTGTGCGTGTGTGTAATGAGAGTATGGTGGAGAATCAAGTAGGAATTCATTACGAGCCAAAAAAGTGAAATTTTTTATGTTAATTAATGAAGTATTTAATAATTTTGTAATCAATAACAATCAAAGGTTAGATTTTTCTATTTATTTGTCACAACTTATGATTAAAACATCAAAAAATAGAATAAAAATAACAAGTACTCCCTCTGTCCCTAAATTTACTTACATTTCGCTTTTCGAGAGTCAACTTAAATCACTCTTAAACTCTTACTTTTTGTATCAAAACTTTATGAAAATTGATTTTTTTTGTGCAGGCTTTGTAGCGGGTTTAATGTAGTTTCTGAATATGTAAATTTTATTTACTAAAAATAATCCGAGTTTTCACAGGGATCATTTAACTTTATCGTCGGTCAACCTTCGTAATCCGCAATCGGAAGAACATTCAGGGACGGAGGGAGTATAAAATAAAACAATACATGACATAGAAACATACAAATACAAAATTAATCTTGCAATGGCAAAAACAAAATTCAAAAAAAAAAATATGTTATGATGTATAAATATAAA